GCGTATTTCGCTGTTCCCATAAAAGCAGCAGCAAGAAATGCAATAATATTCGTGTAGAGCAAGCATCCTCTTCTGCCCGCTGCATCAGCCAGCACTCCTGATGACAGCCCACCAACTGCTCCACCCACTCCAAATAGGGCAACGATTGATTGGCTGAATTAAAAAGATTTCCTCAATATTACCAGTTCACAGGCTAGCTTAGGGGAGACCTTGTAGACTCCTGTAAGCTCCTAGAAAGTTACCACATGTTGCGGGTTTCATTTCCTGACGCTTTTGGGCTAAATTTGTTCTACCACCATACAGCTTCTTCTGCTCCGAGATTTGGGACGAAATTTAGCACTATTTACCCTACACTGCAACACTCTTCCAAAATCAGGCTGGTTTTCACCCACTTTCTTTAACAGGACAGATTTGACCAAAGACTTGTTTTCACGGGTAGTTTTAGCCCTGAACACGAATGTCGCAGCCCGGAACCGCTTGGCCCCGCACCAAAAACTTCAAGTCACCAAAGTCGCTGAAAACTTTCCGAAGGGGTAATTCGACCCACGTGAACACGAATATCACACCCGATTGGCGCAAAATCGTCCGCCTTCCGCGCTACTTCCCTTCCCCTTGCTGAGGCTCAGCCTTAGCAGAGGAGAAGATCACTATATTGAAGGAAGGGTGCAGACGAGCAGAAGCAGGCTGCGCTGTCATGTTTAGTCCCCTCTCCTTCCCCACCCTTAACTCTCTAGGAACCCTATGCAAATGTGATATCCGTCGAACTACCTCTGGGACAAGGTTTCAGCGAAGTTGGTGGTTTGGAGTATTTTGGCGCCGGCGCCTGTGGCGCGGAAGTGAGACAGTCTCGTGCCAGGCTCATGCGATAATCGTGTTCCGGGGAGGGGTGGGTGAAATTACCAACAGTAATTAGTTACCAATGCTGGGGCAGTAAAAGATAGCGTCTAAGTTAGATAAATCAAAGCTTCACTAGACACTGCTTAACAAGACTTTAAGGTTTCCACAAGGTGATCAGTTCCCCTTCCCTCCCAAGCCGATCTGGCGTTTGAATGACTCAAAGTTTGTGAAAAATACCGTGAAATTGTTGCTAAGCCCCATACGAGCTGATGTGACCAATTCCGCGATTATTTTATAAAACAGATGCGCGATTACGTCACGCGTCGCGAAAAGATAAGGCAGTGTTCAGAGTTCGCGACGATGCGCTACCACTACAAGAGCGCTCCAACGCTTTGAACGGAAACGCAGCCACAAACGGGTCGACCAGCGTCCGCCGCTATTGCTTGAAAGTATGGGGGGCTCTTCTATTTTCTCCCGAAACACTAGCGAATGGCGTAGATTAATACCAGACAGTTGGGCAAAGCCGACCTCCTATTCTCCCATACTCTGTCAAGCAGTAGCGGCTGGCGGCAGTCGATACCCGCCTAGGGCCGCGTTCTCGTCTTTAATGTTAGAGCGCTGCCGCGGTAGTAGCGCGTTACAGCGCGTCGACGCGCTGCAAATTCTGAACGTCGCCTTATGCGACAAAATAGTGCCACTCACAATGTCAGATCTGCATCTTTTCTATCAAGATCCTCATTGTACATATATTTATGTGAGGATATGATCCACTCAGTTATCATCTGGAATTGCTCCAAACTATCGCTCACTTTAAGCAGTCTCAAGTAGCAGAAACCAATGTCTATCTTCGGAAGTGATATGACCATACTTCGCAATATGCCCCTCGCACCCGCAGAAAGGGACGAGCACGTCCACATTAGACTTTCACTAGACGAGAATTACCTTGTTTTTTGCAAAGTATTGCAAGAACAGCTAGCTATTTTTAATGGCCGTACAATGGGGTCTGTATTGCACAAAAACGTTCTGAAGTTACACTGCACGCTCACGTTCGAGGCACTTTGCCCTTGCTATCTACGAGGTCGTTCCGCAGCTGTAGAAATGTGTCACTTTATTCACTAAATGCTTTTGAAGCAGGATCATATAATAGCCACAGTAACAGCTGTTTCAGACTCCGCCCAGCGGCAAAGACGTGCCGCCTTGGCCAGGGCATACACCTAAATATAGCAGCCACGACTTTCTTTTTGACGGATTTTTTTCGCTTCGATCTTACGTGATCATCCTTGAGCCCAGCTCCGCCTGCTTGCCTTTTGTTGGATATTCCTTTAAAAATGGCTTTTAAACAACCATGTGGAAAGCATTTGTCCGCAGAGTGACTGGAAACGTACCCTTCCCCAGGAGCGTTAATACACCATACTGGTAACCATAAACTGAAACGTGCCATGACGGATATCGTCAGCGAACATAGCGACTTGTCAAGGCTTACGCTGAAAGGATGGTAGTCGTATTAACCGTTTGAACTGTTCGAGTCTGGACACATATAGCCTCGGGAGGGGCCAGTCTGCAATTCTACGTCGGCGCGTAGTGGCTTGCGCAAGCGTCTGCAGCTGTGGAGGGGGTAAAGAGCTCTGACGTGGGTTAGCGACATTGGCACCCCCCCCCCCCCCCCCCCTTTTCATTTTATTCCTATGATAACTGGATCACCCAACCCGCTTCAATCTCCCCTAAAGTCGCGTGGCCTTCTATGCACTGACGCAAGACTGCGACCTGGCCCTTTCCGAGACACGAAGTGCTCAAACTCCTTAACCAACCTTCTCCTTTGCCACTTTGCGACGCCTTCGAAGGGTCTGAAAATTTTTTGCCGAATTTAAGTACGCGGATTTTTCGATGACCCAACTGCTGGACAGGACATCGATTGTTGGGAATTTCAATAGTGGGGGGGTCGTATTTGGCCGCTAGGAGGGGGTACTCGGGCTAGGAAAAATTCATTCTGATAGTTGATTTTTCTCGCTTCACGGACGTTGTAAAGGGGGAGGAGGGGGTTCGTACTTGGCCGCTGTAGGGGAGGGGGTCGTATTTACGTTTTGGCGTTGTAGGAGTGGTGGTTGACTTTTGGTGATTTTCCATGCGTAGTATAAGCCCCCACCCCCTCGCTCGATTCGATGAGGTGGAACAGACCGGCTGGGAGGGGGCGGGGGGTCGCACCAACTGCCCCAGAAAAAAAATGGGGGAGCAGTCGTACATTCTCGACTAAGATCCCCAACCAATGATGTGCCCTGATTGTGGAACCAACTTTTCGTGATGGGTCTTCAGAACACTGACCCTTGTTGTCAGATCAAAACTATTAATAAAGATATTGCCGGGGCAAGGGTAGCAGAGAGGTGATTCGGCCACGCGGCAAAGCCCTGTCACTGTCTGCCCTTGTCACTGGAATGGGAAGCGGCTACGATCGATTCTAAGGCGCCGAAATGACATGCCAAGACGAGACAGACTACGGCCTGGCCCTCCTCAGCTGCCCTTGCCAATGGTGACCTAATAGGAATTAAGGAAGCAGGGGAATCGGTCTACGAAGTAGAAGACAGCGGGGAGGGGGAGCCTCAGGACATCAGCAGGTGAGGCCAAACTGTCTGTTATCCATGGTTCATGAATGTGCTACTTGAATCACCCTCAATAATGGCGAGAGAATGTGGCGCAGTTAGGCTTAGTGTGGAAGGGTGCGGGGGCTTTTGCTGTTTTGCATCCGGTCACTGCTGGATGCCTCCTGTGGAGACCCTGTAACGCCACGGTCGGGATAACGCTTCGTTACATTTGACAAGAGTCTCTCGAGCTTTCGCCAGGTAAACAGTTCACCTTACAGAAACTAAGCAAGATAAACTATGGACGCACTTGGAAACATGCCACCCACGCGTAACAGGCGCCACGAGGAGTGTTTTGTGGGTGACAGGTAGCCGTCAGCATTTTTAGAACGACCCAAACCTCCGTCATCACACCCACATAAGCGCTGAGCTCGACCTTATTAACAACGAGGAGACACCACTCAACTAGGACGTTGCATAGATGGTTAAGCATACACATATTTCCACTTACCCTGTGCCCTCGTAAAGAGCTCAAAACAACCGAATCTAGTCTTCTCAGCCGGTCCGGATAAGCATCTTGTACCTAAAAAAGATAACTTTTCTTTCACTTGAATGTGAATAGCATCAATTATACTCCATAGAAGGTGTTTCACTTAAAGGCACATTCCGCGATAAAATAAGGCTATGACCTCTCAAATGTGTCGGACGATCCGGAAGGCGATTTTTGAGGCTGCGCTACTTTCAAAATGTGAAACGGCAAGAACTCCGCTAGAAGCTGACTAATTAGGCCCTTAGGCCCTGCCGACCCTCACCGGCTGCTAGCTACTAGCTAGTAGCCACTATGTTATCTTTCTCTATAACATTTCGGACTGCTTTTTCTGCTGCTTTTCTCCGCTAATCAGATACTTAGCACTTTTTTGTGCCTATTTGAGTTCCGTTTCCCGCAATTTGCGGTCGCGAACTGTGCCTTTAATTGAACTTCCGCTGCATAAAGTTCATAAATCGGCGTTGAAAGAGATTGTTTATGGAACTGATAGCGCGGCGGTTAGGGACGAGGTTCAGACAGTAAAGGATGGAAAGGAAGATTTCCTTGTTTCCATCAGCGCTCTCCCCTGTCCATACGCTGCCAGTCCCCCCGAATCTGCAACTACCCAGCACCGCCTGCCACCACTAATCGTGGTAGCGGAGAACACGTTCGGAAGGACTGGAGCGACGAAAATTCTACTGCGACCGCCTGCGCGGCCTGAAGCTCAAGAATGCAGCCAAGCTGCAGAGAAAAGTGGATTCGTAGCAGGCAAAAGGGTAGTGGGTCTGGCCAGGGCTAGAAGTAGCACCGATCGTGCAGCGTGTTGGTATCTTGTGCGGCTTTGCTTGAAACAGCCCCCTGTTATGGGAATGTCCGACGCGACGGCAAGTTTGCGTTCGAGCGACGATTAAAGCCTGGGTCACACTGAGTTGCCCCGATGATCATCCAGTGTCAGCGGTGCCAGTAACGTCCCAATTACCCATTGGACAAAGCTCCAATCTTTTTCCGCGAGAGAGTTTTTCAAAGGGAGTTCTCTGGCCCAAACTAGGACAGCAATGAATGTTTCATAACTATTCGTACAGAACCAAGAAGATTCACGAAGTCTGAGAATCGCTAAGGCGGTTGTTCAGGAATTCGTCTGACATCCCGTGGGATCCAGTCGGCAAGCGCTCTGGTCCAGTGGTCATGTTCAAGAAGCATCGCCCGCGCCCGGCCCATCTCATATACCTTGGAAACTGCGGCTGCACCCCCGATGTTCATTCATGAAAGGAAAACGGAGCTCCAAATCCCTCTCACTTGATCTCCTCTCTAACCGGGTAACTCCAGCAGCTCTTCGCATGGCACGGTTGGAATGAGGCCAACGGCATGTTCATCCTGCTTCTGTAACGTCCAAGTTGAGGCGTATTTTAGGGCAGAAAGGACCGCGAACTCGAAGAGTTGGGTGCAGAGCCTGTGCTTCTTTCTTCGTCTTCTCCGCTACTCCCTTAAAGTTATTGAGAGCTCTCCAGGCCGCTCCCTTCCTCCTGCTTGCCAGGAAAGGATGGTAGGTCGAAGTGGCCCATTCAAAACGAAGATGTATACGGATGTACACAGGGGAGGGGGGGGGAGCCAAAAAAAAAAGTCATTTTGCCTCCATGACTTTCAAGGCGCTATAAGTTACACTTCATTAAATTTTTATCGGACACTTTTACTACCATATCAAAGAGCACGTTAAGTACTGTAATTCACTCCGCCACAGCCTTCTGGAGGAGCGCCATCGAGAGATTCGGCCGCGCGAAAGTGAGTGGGTACCGGAGTTGAGCGAGATCGTTGATTTCTCCGCCACTGTAGACCACCCTGTTGAGCTCCGCCCGAACTAGGTAATTGAGTGGGTTCAGGTCAGGGGACATATTTCAATATTACATCTTCATCAGGTACGAAACGCCCTTCCATTCGAAGTAGGCGGGAGTTTTTCCAAAACCCTTCGATTCCATGTGGTGGCACCCAAACCTGTAGCAGCACAAGGTCTCCAAGAAGGTACGGGCGACCACATGTAGGGAGGATATCCTTCTCGAGTTACTTGATGTAACCGCCAGCGCTCACCTTCAGTCGGGGTCTACAAAGAAAATATCGGTCTTCCCATTCTAATTGACAGGCTACGGCCGGTCCACACAACCCGCGCCTTGCGTGAATGGCGGGTGAGATGATTCCTGGACCGTGAAGCGACCTTGCCGGCAGCCTGCTCGCTGTTTTGAAGTCTTGCAGATCAAGTTCCATTCAAGAAGTTCCGCAGCTGTTTGGAGGCCACGTGAATTCCAAAGGCGTTCTCCACTCAGGCCGCGACTGGAGATGACTTCATATTTTGGTGTACATGAAGGTGAATGGCGGCAGCCGGCTCCTGCTTATAGAGGAAGATCTTGGGTATCTTCCGCCCTGGTACTCATATCCACTTCCTCTGTCTGGGCTGCGAAAACTTCGCTCATATGTGACTCGGCCGGAATGACTTTTTTTCAGGCC